GCAGCAGAGGCCATGGAGGACTATTGCTTACAGGCTACTCTCCATGGCTGGCTCAATTTGTTTTCTTATACAAACCAGGGTCACCTGCTCAGGGGTAATACACCCACAGTGGCTGGGCCTTCCACACAATCACTAATCAGGAAATTATCCTCACACACTGATTGAGATGACCCTCGACTGACCAGGTATCTCTAGGCTGTGTCAAGTGGAAAGAACTTACCAGCATAGTCTGGTAACAAGATATACTTCCCTGTGTTTACTTCTATATCAGTGATTTTGGTCGGCTTCAATCACTGGTAAACTATATCCCGAACACCTGAATGATGGAGAGCACGTAACAGGCTCTAAATATTTGATGAAAGTGAAATGCAAAATGAAACTGCAAACCAAAGTGGCCAGGTTCAGGAATGAGTTCTTAGATTTGCGCTGCAGGGAGACACATGGATCCACAGTCCTCGGTGTCCTTAGAGACCTTCAGGCCCACAAGAGAAAAGCTAGACAAGAAAAAACTTGCCCAGTTAAAGACTTAAAAGGATTATTATTGTATTTTACTTAGTATTTACATGGAATATAAGTGAGCTTTTTGAGTTATTTAGCCTACAATCTCACAAGAAATTTATAGATTGAATTATATTAATAGATTCTTAAACTTCCATGTGTATCTGCCTTCCCAGGATGCATCATTCTTGAAAATAGTGGTTTATTTATGGAAAGGACCAAAGCCAGGGCCTCATGCATGCTAAGCAAGTGCTTTACACTCACAGCTTAAAATATTGAATTTTATTTGTTAACATTTTAATAGATTTTCATATTCCAGCTTTATAATTTTCTTGATAGTGTCCTTTTCCAATATCATTGTCTGAATCTGTGAGTCAAAAAGTGTCCAGGGCATTTAGTGTTTTAAAGATTTTGATGATGAAGTTTCAATTATGAATTTTAATTATAACGCTTACATGGAAATTGTCACATTTGTTACTATGCTAGGGATAAATCTTTTGAGTTGGTCTCTTTGAATGTTTAACCTCTAAGTGAATTCTGTTTGTATAAAAGAAGATCTTAAATGACACCTTTACAATCTCAAGGTTTTAAAATTACATGTAGTTGTGTGTGAGAGAGAGGTGGGGTAGCATTCGTGTACCATGTGGAGGTCAAAGGACAACCTGCAGCACTCTTTTCTCTCCCACCATGTGGGCCCTAAAATAGAAGTTCGGTTGCCATGCACGGCAGCCAGGACCTCTACCCACTGGCTCAGAATCTCAAGCTCTTTGCAGAGAAACACAGAGAGCAGATGTTCTGCACAAGACAGGCCAAGAAACTGAAACATGTGAAAGCTTAACTTCCTGCAGACCTGAAGGACCTGAACGCAGAAGTGAGGCAGGCAGGCAGGAAAGCATCAGTGAGCATCTCGGGGTGCTGTTAGTGTGCTCTGTGCTTCTGCAGACACTGGAAGGGTGAGAAGCTCTCTCCCTTCTCCTCAATCCAAAAGAGGGGTTTCCAGAGAGAACCCCGGGAGCTTTCTTGTGCCTCTTGACATTTGACACCACAGCTGATAGCCCTACTGCAGCCAGGGTAACAGGAAGGAGAGGGTCACCCATAAAGCAGAGCCTAGGACATCATCAGAGAAAATCTTGTATCATCGTAGGAAGATTTGAAAATTGTCATAACTGCCACAGACCATACACATATTTGAAGCTTTATGTTGCCCACTCATCTTTGATATGGTTAATCTTTATTGGATATTGAAATTTTAAAACAAGAAAATAGACCAAATCTGGACTAAGATGGAAAAAAAACAAAACAACAACAAAACTAGGGTATCTACTGTCTGAGGTAGGGTTCTATTGCTGCAACGAAACACTATGACCACAAAGCAAGCTGGGGAGGAAAGGGTTTACTTGGCGTACACTTTTGCGTTGCTGTTCATCACTGAAGAAAGTCAGAACAGGAACTCAAACAGGGCAGGATCCAGGAGGCAGGAGCAGAAGGGGTGCTGCCTACTGGCTTGCTTCTCATGGCTTGCTCAGCCCGACTTCTTATAGAACCCGGGACCACCAGCCCAGGGATGGCACCACCCACCCTGGATTGGGTCCTCCCCCATTGATCACTAATTGAGGAAATGCCTTACACCTGGATCTCATGGAGGCATTTCCTCAGCTGACGCTCCTTCCTTTCTGACGACTCTAGCGTATGTTAAGTTGACACACAAAGCCAGCCAGTACATCTACACGCAACCTCAGCCATCCAGGAGCAGTTAGCGATCCTCTCAAGCAGTGCAGCTTCAGTACACAGGCCAATGTATTTTCTGTAACCACTCTTCCCTCATTCTCCCCATGTCTGGATAGAGCTGCACATGATATTTTGTTTTAAAATGGAAAATCTCTGCCCATGGTTGTAGCCACTTATTGTTCTTATATTATTTATGTAATTCTCTTTCTTCTTTGTGAGCTCACCTGTTTCAGAGGGCTCTCCATCAAATAAGCATCTGATTATGTTTGCCACATTTTTGTAGTTTTTTTTTATTAATTAGTATGTGTGTGTGTGATCATACATGCCAGGGCACTCGTGTGGAGTTGATTTTATCCTTCTACCCTGTAAATTGTAAGGATTGGACTCAGGTCATCAGGCTTGGCAGCAAGAACCTTTACCTATTCAGTCAGCTCACTGGCCCTGCTTTTTTTTTTTTTAAATTTTTGTTTTCTATTTCAATAACTTCTCTTATGTTTATTAGTTCCTTTCTCTGGGGTTATTTGAAATAGTTATTTCTTCTAGAGGATATTTTGCCTACTTTCTAAGTTGTATTTATCACTTACCTTTAATATTTGTACTGTATTTTCTCCTTTTATTAGTATACATTAGCACAAACTAATGGCCTGCTGTGACATTTTCACATGTGTGGTGCACTTGAGCGGCTCTCACCTTCTCCCCTCTTTTGCATTCTCCAGGCTCCTGCTGGTCCTGCACTCTGGCTGGTCCTTTTGTCTTTCCAAATGCTCTCACTTCTATTTATATATGTCTTAGAAATCTAGGGCTTGGAGAAAAAGCTCAGCAGTGAAGAACTACTACTGCATAGGACCTGGGTTTGATTCCAAGCACCTCCAGCATTGCTCACATCCGTCTGTAACACTGGTCCTAGGGACCCTGATGCCTTCTTTTGACCTCTCTGTAAGCACTGCAGAAATGCATATGGTGCAAGTAATTAGGCACAGCAAGAAACCATCAAACAAAGCCACTCTGAGGAGGAAGAAGCAGTTTATTAAAAGCAAAAGTCTGCCAACTACCTGAGATAGTGAAGGACAGTGACAGCTGAGAAAGCTTGTTAGGTGTTATATGGGTATATGGTAAGGGGAGGCAGCTTGAAAGCCAAAACAGCCAGGCGGTTAGTGTGGGGCCTCTTTCAGACGGGTGAGATGCTGGCCATTTTGCTTAGGACTGCTCAGCCAACCAGTGCTTCTATTTCCTGGCAAAACCCAACCCTAAAATACCGCTTTCAGTACTGCCATTTGGAGCCTGTCATAGTTAGGGTTTCTATTGCTATGGAGAGACACCATGACCATAACAACTCTTATAAAGAAAAACATGTAATTGGGGCTAGCTTACAGTTTCAGAGGTTTAGTCCATTATCTTCATGGTGCCATGCAGGCAGACATGGTACTGGAGAAGGAGCTGAGAGTTCTACATAGGCAGCAGAAACAACTGTGTCACTGGGAATAGCTTGAGCATAGAAGACCTCAAAGCCCACCCCCACAGTGACACATTTCCTCCAACAAGGCCACACCTACTCCAACAAGGCCACATCTCCTAATAGTGCCACTCCCTGTGGAGGCCATTTTCTTTCAGATCATCCCAGAGCCCCTTGTTCTACCCTAACAGTATGCAGACAACACATACAGACAAAGCACGATTCACAAAAAATAAAAATAAAGAGAATATAGACTCAAAATATGAAATGTGGCATATGTCTTTTGGGGTATGGTTTGTTTTGCTTAATATGATATCAGATATATATTTCCATCCATTTTTCTGCAAATGACATAATTTCATTTTTCTTTATGTCAGTTTATTGGTTTTCCTCTAGCCACTCATCTGTTCATGGATAGCTAGGCTGATTGCATAACTTGTGACTTGTGCCACAAAAGACATAGGTGTGCAGACATTTGCTATATGTTCACATAGATTCTTTCTGATATATGCACAGGAGTAGCATAGCTGCTGGACCGCATTGGAGTTCTATGTTTAGGGTTTTGATGTTTTGTGGGTTTGATTTTGTTTTGAAATTTCCACTCTGAATTTCACAGTGACCGGGTAATTTTATATTCTCAATAACAGTGCAGGACAGTTATATTTCCCATATGTCCTAACAGCATTTGTTGTCTGTTTTCTTGGTAATATGCATTACAGCAGGGGTGTGATATAATCTTCATTGATTTATGTTCGATTAAGATGGTGAGTACAACAAAAAAAAAACCTTAGGCTTGGATGTAACCCTCTATCTGATGTTTCCCCCAATGTATGTAGGCCCACTGAGATTTTTTATAGGTTTAACACTGCATCTTATACAATAGTAAAAGGTTCCAAGATTTTATTTGATTGACTGGCTGAAGTATTTAGAAATATTTATCAAAGATAACCAACTAAGAATGAGCTGGAAATGCATGATAACTTTGGCTTACCATTAGTGAAGGTATTCAAAGACTCAAGGAAATTAGAATGTTCGAGTGAGTTCACTGTTTAAAACTTAATCCTCCCTGATGAGGGCCCAGAAGACAGGCCTCTCACTGGTACTATGAGACACAAATTGGTGAGAGGAGCACAGGCACATTTAAAGAGCTTTGTAATGGCCTCCTCCTTGTGCCAAACCTTTTGTGAGAGATGCAGCTACTAATTGAATAAATTAAATGCTTTGGGTCTAATTGGATCCTGGAGTAGCAGGGACCAAGTGTCAATACTGAGTCACCAATGTACTTAGATTACAGCATGGGCAAAATAATGTCTGTAATGACCTGAATCTTGTAGAGCTTTGGTTCTGGCTACTCGATCATGGCATTCCCTGGGGTGCCATAAATACTCAGCCTACTGGGTTCTTGCTTCATCTCTATAATAATAAAAAATAAATAAAAAATTTCAAAACTCTGAAAAATTAAGAAAAAGGATTCCTTGAGCCAGAACAATAGGCAAACACAGCCTGTCAACCAACTTCCAGATCTGAGCTAATTTATAGGTCCAGAACCCCTTGAATGAAGGAGGCCATGCCCTCTTGAAGAAGGACCTTGTAACAATACAAAAAAGTTTAATATTAATCCTTCTTCCATTGTTCCCCCAAAAGGATTTATAGACTTTTACTAGGACAACTGTGCATTAGGGGAAAGGAAATAATTAGACCTTTTGTGACCTACTTGATACTGGTTCTGAATTGTTACAGATTCAGGGAGACTCCAAAAAGATCGTTTTCCTCCAATTAAAGTATAGGCAGGTGAATGATGGAGTGTTAGCCAAAGTCGAACTCACAGTGGGTTTGGTAGACTTCCAGACTCATGTAGTGTTTATTTCCCCAGAATGAAAAATGGGCATAGATGTACTTAACAGTTGGCAAAATCTCCATATTGGTTCCCTGGCCTGTAGAGTGAGGCCTATTATGGTTGGAAAGGCAAAATGGACTGCACTAGAGCTGTGGCTATCAAAAACAATATCGCAGCCAGGCGGTGGTGATGCATGTCTTTAATCCCAGCACTCAGGAGGCAGAGTCAAGTGGATCTCTGTGAGTTCGAGGCCAGCCTGGTCTACAAAGCAAATTCCAGGAAAGGCACAAAGCTACACAGAGAAACCCTGTCTCAAAAAAACAAAATAAATAATAAATAAATAAATAAATAAATAAATAAATAAATAAAAACAATATTGCTTCCCTGGTGGCATTACAGAAATTTGTGCCACTATCAAGGACTTGAAAGTTACAAAGGTGTAGTTCCTACAACATCTCATTTTATCTCTTTTCTTTAGCCTATGCAGAAAACAAATTGATCATAAACAATGACAGCTGACCATGACAAACTTAATAAAATAATTACTCCCAAAGCAGCTTCTGTACCAGATATGCTGTCCTCACTTGAACAATGGAAGGATACTCCTAGAATATAATATGCAGCTATTGATTGTGCAAATGCTTTTAGCTCCATACTTGTCCATAAGGACCACGAAAAGAAGTTTGCGTTTGCTGCCAAAGCCAGAAGTATGCTCTCACTGTTATGCCTCAAGGGTCTGTTAGCTCTCCAATGCTGTCATTTCCTGTCTCTTCCACAAGGTATCACACTGGTTCACTGCATTGATGACATTACTGTGATTGGAGCAAGTGAGCATGAAGTAGCAACCACCCTGGACAAGTTGGTAAAATATATGCATATCAGAGGATTAGAAATGAATCCAACCAAAATTCAAGGGCCTTCTACCTCAGAGAAATTTCTTAGAGCCCAATGACATGGGGGATGGGAAGATATTCCTTCTAGTACAAGCACAGTACATGTGGCCCTTCCCACCAACAAGAAAGAATCACATGGTGTAGTGGGCCTATTTGGATTTTGGAGGCAGCACATTCCTCACTTGGGTGTGTTACTGCAGCCTGTATACTGAAAGACTGAGAAAGCTGCCAGTTTTGAGTGTGGCCTGGAACAGGAGAAGGTTTTCCAACAGGTTGAAGATTTAGTGCAGGCTGTTCTTCCATATGGACCTTAGCATACCCAATGGTACTTGAGGTGTTGGTGGCAGATAGGGACACTGTACCTGTTGGTAGGCTCCTACAGATGAATCATAGTAGAAGACCTTGGATTTTTAGAAGAAGGTCCTATTGTCATATACAGATAACTATTCTGCCTTTGAGTGACATCCAGTTTGCTGGCCTTAGTAGAAACTGCACAATAGACAACGGGTCATTGAGTACCATGAGACATGAGCTGCCCATCATGAGCAGTGTTACCTAACCCATCAAGTCATTACACTTACACAGTAGCAATCCATCATCAGTGATGAGATCAGGCCTGAGCAGGTTATGGTGGCACAATCAAGTTACATGAAGTTCCTACTCTTGCTTTCTGTCTCCAAGTATGTACCTATGGTCTCACGGGTGTGCTGTATAACCAACTGACTGGGGAAGAGAAGATTAGGGCATGGCTTACATCACAGTTCTACACATTAGGCAGGTACCACTCAGAAGCTGACAGCTGCAGCAGTATAGCCCCATTCTAAGGACAGTATAGCCCCATCCTGAAGGACAACTGGTGAAGAAAAATCTTCACAGTGGACTATGGAGGCCCACGAAGATTCCCGAGTGAGATCTGAGCTTTCTTTACCCAGCAGACTGCATTAGAGGATTGCTTGACCCTGTGCATGGTTACTAGGTGATTGGAAGGATCTGCACTTGGCTGAGCTAGGGGGAGGTCTTTTGCTCCTCCTGTTGGCATTCCTGTAAATAGCCCATGAGAAGAGCCAGAAGGGGCCGGTGGATCTTTTCTCAATAAAACATGGATGGAGGATAGTCCACTTTTACCACAGAATGTTCCTCCTTTGTAGAGGCATGGAGGTCTTTGTGCTCAGAGACACAGTGTTGTTTCTTCAAGGGAAGAAATGCAATACCTATCTACCTAGAAGGTTAGCAAAGGCTGTGTGAGGTCTGCTGTCACAGGTAGCAAAAATGTCACCAGGTCATTGACGATATCCACTCCCAGCCTTCTGGGCAAGAAAACAGGTATTTTATCTCCTCTGTTGAGGAGAGAGGCCCCTGTGTATTTAACATTCCTGGTGCCCTAGTGCTCTGTGGAGCAAGGTCCTTTCACTGTGGTCCTAAGCTATGGCTGCCTTTGCCTGCTAGGCTTTAAGGAAAGATGTTTTTTCCAGAAACTGTAGAGACTGATTGCTAGTGTTTCACAGTAAACTGTATGGTCCTCTAGAAAAATGAACACAGGAAGGGAGGATATGGATCAGCTGAAGAGGTTAAAAATTGGAAATTGGGGAAAAATAGAGAATGGATACATGAGCAGAGGTGTAAACTGCCTGGGCAGATCTCATAGCTTAGATACCACAGCTCTTGATAGCACCTTCCCGAACTGAGGCACTCTCAGGTCTCTTGTCAATTATTCTGCACTTATTGATGTTGTTTCCTTTGTGGCATACATCCTTAGCACACCATCCCTTCCTACGAATACCACTTTTCAACTATATGAAGATGTTTCAGCATTCCACGGCTTGTCTCTACTTAGTTTGTGGTGTCACTGGGTTGGACACAGGTGCTAGTTTGAAAAACTGAACCCATAAAAATAGCTAAGTACTGCTGATGGCTCCTGTGCATTGCATTGTGAGCAGTGCACAGTTGCAATGTGCCTAGAGCTTTCTTCTGCCCATTTCCCCGTCCTGCATACATTCTTGACATGTCAAAGCTGGTTATTTTCTAACCCACTTATTCCTTCTCTGAATGTTTCACTGGTCCACAGAAATTTTTAAAAATAATTTTTCTTTATTATTATTTATATGTATGCATGTTTTGGCTGTATGTTTGTCTGGACACCATATGCATGCAGTGCCCATGGTGGCCAGAAGAGGATATCAGGTTCCCCCAAGACTGGAGTTACAGATGTTCGTTAACCATCATGTAGGTACTGCAGGTTGAACCTTTCAGAGGACTGTTGTTTACTTCAACATACACATTTTTCTCATTTAACTATTTAAAAAAGTATGATCACATCTATAATGGGACTTGCTCTTCTGTAGTTCAGCTTTTCCTTCATATACTTCCCAAGTGTCCCTCTGGTGCTATCTATCATCTGTCTATCTTGTGTGTATGCCTCTGTGTGTGTGTGTGTGTGTGTGTGTGTGTGTGTGCTGGGAATTAAACCCAGTCTCATATATGTTAAGTATACACTTTACCACTGAGTTACATTCTGGGTATTTTTTTTTTAATTTAGAGTTTTGGGATATTTTCCACCACGCAGGCTAATGTGTAGAGAAGAAGTACACACAGTAAGACTTTCCCAAATGTGAAGATTTATCACATAGCTATCAGTCCTTTTATTATCAGCAGAGAAAGAAGAATATCATTCCAAATACTATTTTGGAGTTACAGTTTTTGGAGCATAGATACTGTGTGTGTGTGTGGAGGGGTAAGCATACTTAAAAAAGAAGTTCAGTTTTATGATCAGCTCAGTGAGCACAGGATCTCAGACTATACCCACCATACATTCTTCATCGGGGGTTTGACCACTCTGCCATGGAGACTCTGGCCTGAAGTTTAGTTCCTAAGTTGCGCATTTGAATAAAGTCAACTTTCCTTGATAAACTGAATCTTTGGGGCACATAGAAAAGCTGTGAGTTCTGATCCTGACTTACTCAGTAGACTGCTATCTAACTGTTTCCCCAGCTTGTGCAAATAGAAACTCATAAAGACAAAGTGAACAAATAAAAAGCTTGATTCTAACCCAAGTGGTGGATGATAAAAATCAAGTCCACCCTGTCAGAATGGTAAGAATGTCCCTCTATTTTGCTTTTATATACGATATAGTATAAAAAATAGCCAGAGCTACACAGTAAGACCCTGTCTTGAAAAACCAAAAACAGCAACAACAAAAATTATTATTTTCATGTGCTAGTGAACATTGTCATGCCCGCTCATCCTACTTTTTTATTTGTTTGTTTCTCAAAAACCACTGTGTTTTGTCTCTTTCTTCCTGTGTTGGACTAGGGAACTCTCATTCATATGTCATTTTTTTTCAATCTGTAACATAAGTGTTGAATGGGAAATGTCTCCCATAGTCTTGAGCAGCTGAACATTTGATCTGCAGTTGGTGGTGCTGTGTGGGGAGGTGTAGGAAGTCTAGCCTTGCTGAAGGAAGTATGGCACTAGGGACCATTTTTGAATGAACAAGCCTTCCCTATTCTAGTTTTCTCTCTCTTTTTCATGCTTGCAGTCAGATGTGAGCATTCAGCTTCCTGCTCTGGCTGCCATGCTCGCCTGCTGCCTTGCTGCGATGCATGAAGGGTTCTTAACACAAGCTTTCCTTCCTTAAGTGCTTCTGTCTTGGTGTTTGCTCACAGCGATAGGAAAGGAACTAACAT